ATTTGATTTATATAACTACAAAGATTATTTTACGAAGACGATCTTATGCATATCTCCCCCTCTTCCGAGACTAATTACAGAATTTTTAGATCGGTTTAAAAATATGTTCGACTTCACACGGAAATGCAATAAACCTTATATAAAATAGAACAGTTGAAGCTGAGTTCAAGGTAATCCCTCTCCCACTTCTGCGAGGACGAGGAAATTTTGAAAAAATCCTTTTTAGTGTACCTTCTTAGGGTATCTTCTTAGTGTACTTAACGCTTATCAGTAGTAAAGTAATGATTCAAACTAAGTATAAATGCCGACACAATATAGAAATTTAATATAATGTAATGATGCAAACTGAATTATAACAAAATACAGACCAATACGATATAGATTATATTTAATTTGTAAAAAATTTAATATAAAGTAATTATAAAAATGTTGACACATCTTAAAAATTAATTAATTTTTGAATATTGCGCCCTCTGCTCTACAGTCCATACTGTAAACTAAGTCGTGTAGACCCCGCGTTGTGTTTTTTGTTCATCCTAACGGAATAAACATGTGCCTCCATTCACAATCAACAATATGAGTTATTGCAATTTTTTTATCTGTAGATAATATACGACTGGAGTTTAAAAAACTATTGGTTGCTAGTTTTTAAAGAAAATATGATTGGTTAGTATTTTATATAAGTTACTTCTTTAGAGAGAAATAGTTTTATATTTAAACTACGACCATAGATATGTACGGTTTTGTGGTTACCTACGGGGACTATGAAAATTACTCAATTTCCCCAATTCTATACAGAACTTTCGACGCATGCGTTTCTGCGGCAAAAAATTTCTCGTTCGATGTTCCCAATAATTTTCCATTTATCCTCCGCTATTTTAAAGTCAATGATATTTGGAAAGGAGAAGGAAAATACAATTTTATAATTGTTTGCAAGGATGGAGAAATTAACAAAGTACGTAATGGTTATATGGTCTGCTGCAAAGATTACCACTCTATCTTTCTCTAAGTGATGAATAGCTTTCCTCCTTATGTAAGGTTCACATTCGAACGGTGTGTAGATGACATGACAGGTGTATGTTTAGAAAATAATAAGAAAACTTTAGTAATGTTCAAAGAGATAAGTTCAGGAATGAAATATTATAATTTTTTTAAATTTTCTAAGGTTGACAAGGTTGATTAATATGTATTTCAAGCATCCCAGTAGTTGTGTAATTGCCAGTCCTTCCCAATCTGGAAAAACCACATTGGAGAGGAAAATGATTCACAACAAACTTTATGAAAATTTTCCGAAGAATATTCTATGGTGTTACTCTGTATATTTACCGTTTTTTCAATAAAAAAAGGATATCACAGTTATATATAGCTTACCTAAATCTGTTCAAGGATAGGATTTGATGGTAATCGCTGTTCTGAAGCAGGAACTGTCTCCAAAAACAGCATTTCTGCTTACAACAGAATCTCATCTCTGTAATGTAAGTATGATTTTAATAATGCAAAATTTGCTTCAGAAAAATGAGATTATGAGAGATATAAGTTTAAATAGACATTATTTGATTCTATTTAAAAATAGTCGTGATGAGAGTCAGGTGAATTGTTTAAATCGTCAAGCTTTTGCGGAAAATTTAATTTTTTCATGGATGCATATAAAAAACGACAGAAAAGGAATTTAGTTATTTTTCATTGGTTTTTCATCGTAAAACATATAAGAAATTTTCTTTGAAAGATTCTTATTTTCCTGACAAACGAGGTTTTTTTGAATTTATTACCAATAAAATGAAGATCATAAAGAAAAATTATCATATGCTAGCACTTTTAGAAAAGACTACTACTCAACGAAGAGCGATATTGAAAGAAGCTACTTCAAATCATGTTAAAGTTTTGTGCTAAATGTATGATAATTTGCTGAGAGGAAATATATTCGCCGATGTTTGTAAATTACGAAAACATAAAAGAATTATCAAAAAATTATGCGAAAAACACATTCCTTTAAGGTAAGAGCACCGGTAGTGGACACTGCGTTAGTAGTGGACACTTTGAACTTCAAATATGAGTAATAAGGTTGTTGATGGCTTCACTGTTACAACATACAAATCATTCAGTAGACAAAACCCTGTAGTGGTGGTAACTCGCACTGATCCTTTTCTAGTGCATCATGGGATGGTTTCCCGCGCTCATTAGTGATGGCATTCCTGCTGATATAAGAAGACAAGTGAGTCTGCTGTCTGTTTTTTTAAGGTCTAGGTAAGTGAAATCACGCTTGCTGTATTAACAGTTAGTTTCACGGAAGTTTTTTGGTGATATACTATTAATATGAGCTTCGTTGGTATGTTTTAAGACCTTCCTGATAGTATTTTTATTTTCCAAGTCAATTGAATGATATGTCCACTAATGAAACAAAAATATCGTATATTTTTAGTAGTGGACAAGAGATGGCCACAACTAGTGAAAATGAACTTTTCACTTTTAATCAGTATCAAGTCAAAAATTAAATCACCTAATGTTAACTAACATACAGTATTGATTCAAGCATTTTTTGGTTACTCTGTCTAGTCATAAACAGGGAGTGTTCACTATTAAACCGTGAATGTCCGTTTATTGAAATGAGGTGTTTCAATAGTGGACAAAACATGCGGTTAACTCGGGCATGGACTTTAAGGGTCCATTAAAAAAAGCGTTGACTTATAACTTTTCCGAAAATGTATGGATCAGCATATATACATCGTTATCTATGATCTGTGCAAATTTCATGAATTATTTTTGCCGCGAAAATATTTTATGACGATTTATTAATTAGGTAATTAATCGCGCTATTGTTCTTTATGGGAGTTTTTTAATCAAATTAATTAAAAAGTTCTAAACTTCTATTTTACCGATTTGACTTCGGTAAAATTTTTTAAAACGCTATTGGATGTTTTTTATGAAATCAGCAGGTTTTTTTTGTTTTCTGTTCAATAGAATTTTTCCCCATACCTTTTTTCGGTTCCCTTATAATTTAATAGCATTAATATCGACAATATTGTGTTATATTTGAACAGATGCGGTAAGTTAGCTCCCCTCTTGCTATAGACTTTATACCAATATTCCCCTGAAGCATATGAGAACTACCCGGGAAAGCGGACCCCAGCTGTTCTCAAAGTAAACCAGTTTGTAAACTATGTAGACTGCACGTGTGAAATTTCAGGCCTTGGTAAACGAAAGAATAACAATCCTTACAGCTATATTTCTCAAATAAAAGCATTTATTTTAAATTATTTTTATTGAACCCCCTTCAAACGAAATTATTGGACCAAGTTCAGCAATTAAGGAATCGAAAGATACGGAAGCAAGGGGAGAAAGTATTGAAGGGACTTTAAATTGGACTCGGAGGAAGGATATGTCCGAAAGACACAGTCGGAATACCATTGAAAAGGAAAGGGAATCAAACATCCTGCATGAGAATGATTTTGTAGTTGCCACCTTGTCTGGTAAGAAAAGAAAGTACAAATGTGTGTGCAAAATTACCAGTTTAATCAGTGATAATATCGCAGAAGTGATTGTGTTTAATTCCATAAATAGGCTAAAAAGCCTATTTGTTAAAAATGAAAAAGATGTACAAACGATAAATATTTCTCAAATTAACTTGAGGCTTCCTAAGCCTCTAATTATTGGAAGAGAGAGTCACTGTCAATTCTCGAAAGGCATTGACATAGATAATTAGTTCAACACAAATTAACAATGCAACAATATTTCCTTAAAATATGCTGACGTTAATATTTGAGTTCTCCTAAATGTAACCCAGTTTTATACTATTATTTTTAAGTGTTTAATATTTAGTGTAACAATAATCCATTCCAGTATGTTAAAACGGATCTCATTTATTTCAACATTTGTATTCGTTAAGAATAATGTAACAATAACAAAATAAGAAAGTTTCTTATACTAACTTTGTAATGTTTTATATTTATGTTTCATAATACTTATTAGTTCAATTTTCATATAAACATTACAAACTATACACATGTAATTTACATTTGTACAATTTGATATTTTAATTAATTTAATTAAATTATGAGTTTTCACTATAATTAACACAGTGTTCTTGTTCTTTATAGTAAAGACTGTCAAATTCTGCAAGTTATGAAAAATAGAAACGATTTCATCTTGAGTATAATCATTTCTATATTCCTTGTCCACTACTGGTGCAAATGCCTGTCCATCACTAAATATCTCAATTTTTTCAATGTCCACTACTGAAAGATTTTCAGCCTTACAAAATAAATTAAATTAAAATGTATTCGACGAGACTGACATAATTAAAATCCTTACAGTGAGTGAAGAAATATTTTGTCTAACAGACAATATAACTTTTAAGCCATAGGGCTTCCATATAGGGGGTCTAGTTTCAAAAAAGTCGAAAAATTTTCCTTAAAGTGTCCACTACCGGCGCGTTTACCTTAAATATCAAAAAAAAATATTTTGGTTAAACAATTAGGTGAATTCCTTCCTTTTCTACTAGCACTGTTATTGTCTAAAGCAGGAGGGTAGAGTAATAAGAAAAAGAATCTAATAGCAAAGCAGAAGACCTTAGTTTTTCCCGAATTACTCATGAGATATCAAAAGCCTAAAATAAGAATTGGTTCTAATATCGAAGAATTACTCGAGAAAACAAATTTGCTTGACGACGGTAAAGTCAAGTTATTCAGTGTTGCCGTTCCTAGTACATTTGTACTTTTCTGGTACATTTTGCCCTTTCCAGTAAATTGAAAGTACATTTAGATTTTTAGTACATTTTCAGTACATTATAATATTTCAAGTACCATTTACGGTACAAAATAATATTTTACGCCTTAACGAAAAAATGAGAAAAATTAGTTTAAACAGATGTCTATTTAAGTTTTATTTTTAGAAATTTTTTTAAAGTTTAATATTGTTCTGCAGAAAATACAGAAATTTCACATGATTTAACCAAATTACTTTTTTATACTGTTATTTTTATTACAATTCTTTATCTGGTATAATGAAATTTTCTGTATTAGGTTTTTTCAGAATTAATATTTCAAAGAGATGTTTTTATGAACATCTCTTAATTAAAGAAACATTTTACATATCTACAAAAATGAATATATATGAATGATGTTTTTTTGCTTTAGGCTATAATTTTGTTCTTGCGATAGTTTCCTTGGCATAATACTTCTTCTCGGCAATTTTGTATAACTCATTCATCGAAGTTACTCCTGTGTTCTTTACCAAATTATAAAAAGTACCATTTACATTTTTTAGTAATGCATATGGTGAGTCAAATTCTTGTAATCTTCCTACATCCATTACCTAAACATTTTTAATTTGTAATTATAATAACATATATATATTTTATATTATAAAAAAAATCTTACCATAACTCTATCTGAATCGATAATTGTATTTAATCTATGGGCTATTGTCAACACTGTACATGATTTGAATTTCTCTCGAATTATCTTCTGTATGCAGTTATCGGTGCTAATAATAAATAGAAAGAGTACGTCATGATTCTAAATATTAGTGTCAGTTTAAAATACAAGCATGTATAAAAATGGAAAAAATTACTTAAAAATTTTAATACTTGGAACTTTTGATGAAGATAAAAACCACTTATTATATAACTAGTATTTTTAATATTAGAGATTATGTATTAAATATTGTACTTAAAATAAAGTAAATAATACAAATTGGATTGGATTTAATTGAATTATGAAATGCAACAAATAAAAATTTTTCCAATCTTAGTGGCTTACTAGAGGATTTTTGATGAAAAATTCGTTTTTAATTAGATGTTACCGGTAGACATGGGAATAAAAACTAAAATTTCATGTGGCCAGCTTTTCTTTGTATTATGTAATTAAACTTAGCTCTTAATATTTATGATTGCAATTATTTATCCACTCGTAAAAAAATTTAGAATGTTATGACATCATAAAACATATAACATTATTTCAGCACCACTTTCAATAGAGTAAACATTGACCTATACAATTTTTCTCATTCTATGAAGACCACTACCGCAAGCTGCTTTGCTTCTTTGCAACTATGAAAAGATCACGTGTGTAAATATTTCACATGAATAAATAGAGTTTATTCACTTTTCCTTATCATGTTTCATATATGAAGAAAGAAGGTAAGCTTATACAATCGTGAACAGAAATATGAAAAGCACGAGTTTCATCCATTATGAAATCATGATGAATTTACTCATATGAAGTCACGCGAATTTTAAAAACTCTATAGTGGCTCATTATTAGTCAAATGTATCATTATTCTCAGAAAGAGTCAAAATATTATAAAAAAACATAAAAATTCCTGGTCACTTTCGTAAATAAGAATGTTACCTGTATGAAAAATGAACCAATCAAAGAAATAATCCATGGATCATAAAAACCCTTGTTTATTTTATGAGAATCTCAAATTTTAATTTAAAACATTTTAGTACTTCGAAAATCCTAACAATATTATTATCTAAAGGCATGTTTCAGGATGACTAAACTATACCGTTACATAAAAGAACAGAAATTTTAAATTTGTTTTGCTTGCATGGCATTTTACAGATGCCATGTGTCTTTGTTTCAAAAATGTTATCTCATAAATTTTTGAATAAATTTGAAAAAAATTAAAATCTTCCTAACTTTTCTGGTGCCAGAGAATGTTACACACACATATTCATATACAAGGAAACGAGTAAGTGCGGTTGAAAGTACTTTCAATCGCATCTAATGAGTGTTATTCAATGAAATAACAAATGTACAGTTACTATAGGTTCATAATACTATTACACTTTATTTATATCTTTTCTGTAAAGTGGGACCATTTTTAGTTCTGTTCAAATAGGCTTTCGCAGTTATTCGTGACAATGCATTCTCACGTTTTGGTGTTTTCGTGTACCTTTATCACAATTATAGCATGGTAAAAAAAATTATGAAGAAAAATGTTATTAGACGATTGAAATTCCGTTCTCTTTCACACAATATGTAGCGCAAACTTCTAGTAGCTAAAGCTACTAGAACTTTGAGTTAAAGCTACTTAGAAACATAAAGCTATTCAACAAACAGGTGCCATGTTTGTTGAATAGCTTTATCTCAAACTTGACTAATCTCAAAGATAATGTTTACAAATAGCAGAGCACTTTGGATTTCCATGCACGCCACACAGACAAAGTAAAGAGTCGAAGACAAACAAACACGAAGTAGATACAAAAACGATACTTCAGGCCATATATGGCAGGTCACCAACAGCAATCAGTGATAATTAAAAATTGCATTCAACAGTTTATTTTCACACCGCAGAAATCTGAAGTTACGTATGTTGTTATAAATAAGAATAATTTAAACTTAAAATTTTGTAATTTCTAAATATCTATTCTAACCTTTTGTCTATATTGGCTGTTGCTTCGTCCATGACAAGAATTTTATTCTGACGAAGGATTGTTCTGGCAAGGCAAATTAATTGTCTTTCTCCTACGCTGAAATTTCTTCCTCCTTCTGTCAAATGTGTATCCAAACCTCCAGGTAATTTACTAATAATTCCTTTTAACTGTACCTTTTATTCAAATATTTTGAAATAAATAAAACTAATAATTAAAAATTTATGAAACAAATCAGATACCATAATGGAATATCTATTTATTTTTTACCTTTTCTATGGCTTGCCACAGCATCTCTTCTGTATATTCATTGAAAGGATCGATATTTCTTCGAAGAGGACCAGTAAATAACATAGGATCCTGATTATACAATTATGATCATATCAGACATTAAAATGCATTAGTTTAAAGATTAACTTTTAAGATACATGATGCGTATTTTTATAAGTAAAAGCAATACTGCGATTATCTGTATTCACTTATTTAATTAAAACAATTTTGAACTACTGAATCTTTAAAGACAATTCCAAATCACCATGTACCTATCATACAGACAGAAATAACAGACTTCTTTCTATAACAGCTAAAATTCTACGAACAAAGATAACAATTGTTGATCAAAACTAGTTACGCTTGACATAGAGTTAAATTTTATTTAAATTATACGTTTTCATTTTCAATGACAATTTATTTAACATAACAGCCATTTACAATTAAAATTTAATTTAGGCATATTCTTATTAAGTTGTTAACACATATATAAATTTATTACTGAAAACACCCGAATTACCATAAATATTTAGATAATTTACTTCTAATAAATTATTCGTAAGTTTTTAAGTTGTTTAATTAAGTCTATAGCAAATATTTTACTATATTTAGATAATTTAGCATTGTATAATATATANTGTTATGAATATCATCAATGTAAAAAAATGAAGCAAGAAGCAGCATACATTTCTCAAAAACACATTTATGGTTAATTAATATGATTTACAATTTATCCATTGTTAATTACTTGGATATGTATATAAATACAGCGAAAAATCCTTATCATGATACTACAATACCTGTATTAAGTTAAAACATATTTATAAACTTATAATATTCTAAAACTTTTAACTCTTTGTGGCACAGACAATTCCCCCTAGTTGCACAGATTATTTTTTAATTTAGACGAAATGGATAAGGACATCTGCCAACTGAATGAAACTATAAATAAAATATTAAACTGTATGACTGAGTAACTGTAACTTTTCGAGGTGGGACAAATTATATTTCACCATACATAAAAAGCTAAGCAAAAGGTGGGAATGTTTTTAACCCACGTAACACCAAAGAATTGAAAGGATTTTTTTACTCACAGAACTTTGCTTGCAGCAGAAGATGATAAATTTCTTTCTCTTTCTAGATGGTAGTTCATATCGAGTCTTTTGGCTATACACCTTTATTGCAATCGCAATGCGACCAAAAAACCAGCCTTATAAAATGTATAGAATGGCCTAATCACGCGCGGGGAAAGAACGCCTTCCGGGATGACTTTTATGGGGAAACTGGCCTCTTTTCAGGCGTCATCGACATGGAGGACACCCGGAAAACTCCACGCTGCCAGCGTGTCCGAGCGCGGCGCGAAACCACGACCGAACGCCCAGTGTTCAGAGTTAAGTCCAACCCAAGTGCAAGGACATAGACCTTCACTTAACACACCCCGTTATAAACTTTGTATTTTATTGCTTTTGTTATCGAGGATACTGTTCCATGTTTAGTGGATTTCTCTGCCAAAGTTATTATTTATTCTGTTGGTCTGTCATTTTATGTCCATATGATCAAGAGGTNATTAAGTCTATAGCAAATATTTTACTATATTTAGATAATTTAGCATTGTATAATATATATAAATTTTTTCATGTTACATTATTGTAAATATTCAAAATTCAAATGTTCAGCTTCAAGTAATCGAAAAAACATCAACAAATGGTTCTCATAGTTTATAATTTCTACTTCTTTAATTCTATATTATCTGAATTTTGGAATTGTGTGAGAATCGAACAAATGTAAAGGAAAACAACTCAGAAATGAGCTCATTAGAAGCTAGTATATGTCAACTTTCTGACCTGAGCGAGTGTCAACTTACACTTTCTCAGCGTTCATAGTGACACCTTTCGCGCGACTTTTAGTGACCTTTAAGGTATTTACTGTTTTGAATATGATGTGGAACTGACGATTTCAGTTAGTTGTTGCCCATTGTCCTTTAAATTGTTCAGTTTAGTGTGTTTGTGTGCCTCTTTCGGATTAGCGCTATTCCGTGTCCCCAGATTCCTCGTCATACGTGCATTTGCTGCTTCACTATCGAACTGCTAACTAAAGAAATACATTGCAAAAATCCTCAAAGAGAATTCTAGTTTTGATTTTGTAAGATACTAAAAATTTGTAATCTATCTCTCTCAGCGAAACCGGGAATATCCAGTGTAAAGTGTTGCACTAACTTTCGTACCGTCTAATAAATATTTATTTGTAGTAAATTGTAACTGAATCTCGTCCTTTTCCTATTCCATCCTATTTTCCTTAGTTTCGCACACAAGATGACATTATTACCATCTAAAAACGTTCAAAACTTGTGAAGTAGGAGTAACATAGTTGGTATCAGAATAAAAGACAGATGTAGAATCTCACAATTGTGTTAATATAAATGATCTGAAAAAATGCAGAAATTAAATATCAAATTTAGGTATAAATTATCTCAAATCATCGGAATTGTCATTTGGTTTGATAACAATTTGGCCTAGTACTTACGAAACCGTGCCGGTAATTGTTATGCAACTTGAACACCAACTATATGGTGTATTTATTCAGACACAAGGCAAATCTCATCATTAATTTTTATTACGTTGATTTCATTTGATTTTTATTTAGTTTATTTAGTTGATTCAACTAAATAAAAATTAATGATGAGATTTGCCTTGTGTCCGAGTGAATAGACTATTTATTTGATGTTCAAGTTGCATAAAATCTAACCATAACATGTCATGTTTTAAGGTGAATGTAAGGATAGTTCATCACTCTTGAAGGAAAAACAGTACACCCACCTTCCACTGCAAATTTTAAGATATTTATATTTTTTAAATGAGTAAATTAACGAATGCTTACTTCTCGGTTAGAAATGTTTCAAAATTCAATATTATTGATATATTTTACTCGAAATAAGTTATCTTCAACGTTTTACAACTACTTTAAACAGGAGTGATTTCTGAATTTGTATTTTTAGTTTTTTTTGTGAAATAGTCGTACAGATTCAAAAATGAAATAACTACATTAAAAATGCACATTTCTTTTGAATTATTACTGAGAAAATCAAAATTTCTGGCTGATTGTTTAAAATAGTATTATTTCTATTTGAGAAATAAAGAGATTGAAAAATAATGCAGAGTCCACCAAATATTGAACAGTTATATCTATGATGTAGAAGTAATAAATGGAAAAATATTCTGATAATAATATAAAAAAACATTGGACAACATGGTAAACATAAGATTTTATCTTGCAAAGTTGGAAGTAATATTTTTCTTCATGCTTTGGCTGTGAAATACAAATACTACAATATGACAATGAAAAAACCTGGCATTGTCAAACAAACGTATTGGCTTACCAGTATAAAATAAAAATTAGTCCTGACATTAAAAAAGATCAAATGTTATGAGAAATACTATTAATTAAAGATATATTAATTCTATATTGATACTTTCTGGAGTTACAGTAATTACACACGAAAGTTGTACATACATTGCTCTCGCACTTCATTCAAATTTTAGACAATGCGATACACATGATGACAGTAAGATGTAATGTTCAGTGATATAGAAAAAATGAAATTCTTTTTTGTCAATTACTAGGAAAGTGATTTGATAAATAAATAATTTATATTATTTATATGTGACAATATATATATTTATTTGTCTTGTATATTAATTTCCGTTTACTTTTTTGGGCATGTGAATTGTAGAAAAGCCTTTTTATCAAATAAATTATGATTTCAGCTAAGCCCAAAATACTAAAATATATTTAAAGATGTGCTGACCTACCATAAACAAACCAATCTACAAAAAATTTCTCGAGATTTTAATTAATTCCTATCTGATTCCAGGTGTTCTAGAAATGTAGGCTGACACTTCAAGTTGTCTGCGTTCCAGACATAATAAAATATAGTTAAATGGTATGTTTTATATTATTTAATATATTAAACATTTATCCAGAAGAGAATAAAAATTGGCAAAAATTAATCATAAAAATTATTGGAAAAAAATTATTTTAACTGAAATAATTTTATTTACTTGAGGAATGATGGATAATTTACTGCGCAAATCCCGAAGACCAATATCTTTAGTGTCAATTCCATCGATAGTTATTCTTCCCATTGGTTCTGTCATGCGAAATAACGAAGCAATAATAGAACTCTTTCCAGCTCCTGTTCTCCCAACAATTCCTATCTGCAGTTAATAAACAATAAAAATTATATGAAAAAAATAGTCATTAGCAATACTGTTTGGAATTTGCAGATATATTACTTTTTCTCCGGAATGAATACAAAATGATAAATTCTTTAAAACAGTATTTTCATTGTTGGTATATTGTAGAGAAACAGTATCGAATTGAATTTCTCCTTCTTGTGGCCAATCTTGGGGTGGTTGTTTATTAGGTGAACTTTCGTACGATGCTTCTGACTTTAATTTGCTGTAATCCAGTATACGTTTTACTGAGTTCATCTGCAAAATTTACTTTTTATGAAATAACACAAAGTACTTACTCTAATTTATCCTAACTTATATGTATTATGTAGAAGTTCAAAACAATAATGATAAAGATATCTTTTATAAGAATAGTTGTAATAAACATGATTTATGTTTAATTGTCTTCAACTTTTTATTCTGATTAATATTACATGTAAGAAATTGTTGTTAGATAATAAAATTAACAGTTTAGAGTAAATAAAGAAAATAGACTTTTTATTAACTAACTGGGAAGAAAGTTTTTGTTTACATAGTCATAAAACAATTAGTGGTTTATTGACATTGGCAACAGAAAGAAGTTCAGAGTCAACTCGTTCACTTCTGCAAAAGGAATTGAATTTTCTTCCCTGTTTCTTTAAAAATGCTTTCATTTTACTTTATAGTAATTTGTCTTTGTGTGTCTTAACACTAAGGCAAATTACCATATAGTAATAAATAATTTGTTGTGTTATCTGTTATAGGATAATATAAAAGCTATTTTTAATAACATCAGTTATTATAATATGATAACAATTTTAAAAGGGTAGAAACGAGTTTCTTTATATTGTCTGTGAAGTTAACTTTAATGTTTCACAA